ATTGAAATTATTTACAAATATTATAGGCTGGATAAAAGACTATGTCTGGTTTCAATCTGTACTATAATGCACTTACCATTGCATTTGCTGATCATTTTAGTTAGAAACATTTTCACTCAACACAAACAGTGTTATTTTGATCTGCCCAACACCCACAGGTTTGGACTACTGTCATATTGCAGAAGAGAAGCTATCCTATTAATAAGTTTCCACAAAGCTTTCTTCATATCTCCATTCCTCAGACTATAGATGAAGGGATTCATCATTTGAGGGACCACAGAATACATCACTGAAGCTACTGCAGCCTTTTTGGATGAGTCAGTTATTAAAGAACTAATGTATACTCCCGAACCTGTCCCATAGAATAAGGTGACAACTAAGAGATGAGAGCCACAGGTAGAAAAGGCTCTATACTTTCCTTCTGATGATGGCATTCTCAAGATAGATGACACAATGTGAATATTAGAAAGCATGATTCCAAACACAGCAACACCACCAAAGATGCAAGCTGCCACATATATTACTATGTTATCAACTAAAGTGTCAGAACATGTGAGCCTGATGATCTGTGCAAATTCACAGAAGAAGTGTGGGATTTGCAACTTTGCACAGAAGGACAGACTTAGGATCATCAGGCTATGGAGCACTCCATCCACGATGCTAATGAAAAAGGAGAGAGTCAGTAATACACACATGCGGGTGCTCATGATGACTGCATACCTAAGTGGATGGCAGATGGCCACATAGCGGTCATAGGCCATTGCTGCAAGGAGACAACTTTCAAAAGCACCAAAAACCAAGACTAAACAAATCTGAGTAAGGCATCCTGTGTAGGTGATGTTCTGATCCTCTGTTTGGATGTTCACCAGCATCTTTGGGACAGTAGTTGTGCTTAAACAGATGTCATTAAGGGACAGGTTGGAGAGGAAGTTGTACATGGGAGTGTGGAGGTGAGAGTCAGAGCTGACAGCCAGGATGATGAGCAGATTACTCAGAATTGTAACCAGGTAGATGGACAGGAACAGGCTGAAGATGAGGGGCTGCAGCTCCGGATCATCTGTCAGTCCCAGGAGAACAAATTCTGACACAGCTGTTTGGTTTCTAACTTCCATAAATTCATGATCTGAGCTAAAATAAACAGACAAAATATGACAAAATATAAAGACCAACAGAGGCAGTATGATCTTCAGAATTTTATTTCCACAACTGTGAGAAAATTTTTCTGTAATAAGTCTTCCTTTTTGAGAGATTTTTTTATGACAAGTATAAGTAATACACTCGCAAAACTCTCATTACATCTCATGAAGGAGATAAAAAGTAAATGGAAAATTATTTTGTAACAGCCATTGATTTTGAGAAGAGGTGGAATTTCTGTAAAAGAAACACTTGTCCTTCATAAGAGTATCAGTCCAGCACAGTGAAAGCCTGCTAACTAGCAGCCCAAACATCTGGGATGTGGTAAAAAATACAGTCAATATTTTTCATTTGAAGCATTTTTACAATAAACAATACATTGTCAGTTGTCACTCTTAAAATACTCTCCCTCAGTTCCAACACATTTTTGTTCTTACCATTTACTCAATAAGTTCTGGAAGTCCTGTATCATGAGTGTATTTAGTTTCACTGTTATTGCTGCCTCAATATCTTGCATTGATTCCTACTTTTATCTACTTTTTTATCTACTTTTATCTTTTATGGTCACATTGAATTTAAAAAGAGTCAGAACTTTTACAGTTTCAGATCTGGTGGATAAGTGGGTGTGGACACACTGCAGTTTTTTATGGAACCTGCCTTTCCATTGCATTACACTTGGTAGCAATATTCACTGTAGTTTTGATTACACCTTACAAAGACATTCACAAAACAGGGCTTCTAGAATTGCCTTAGGAAGTGGCAAGAACAATGGGAAAATATTACATTTTCTTTATCCATTCATCCAACGATTGACATATAGTGGTTGTGCAAGTTTACATTCCCATCAGCAATGTAGAATGGTTCCTTTTCCCCCTTACAGTCTCATCAGAATTTTTTAGTATTTGATTTCTTGTGATGAACCTTGAGACCATAATATTAAATGAAATAAATCACACACACAAGCTCAAATATCATATGCTTTCTCTTATACAAGATGTTCAAAGTATAAATAAATTAATGGGAAAAATAAAGCGCAGATAATAGGAAACATGGGGATAGATCTTTTGTAAAAGGCAAGGTGACCAAGAGATAGACAAAGGGGGATTAGTGAGGAGAGGCATATAAAAATTAAGATGGGTTATGAACATGTATCAACTTTGCACAATAAATGTAAGCACTATGAACTACAAACTTGAACTAACAATATTTTTTAAAAATTAAAATTTCAAAAAGCTTAACAATGGGATAATTCTGTTTAAAGAAATGGGTAGTAATTTGAGGGTATTATGGCAATGTTTCTTTCCATGTAATGAACTTTAAAAATTTAAATATTTATTATGTAACTGATCATATCTCATATATGTCATTATGTGAAGGTTGAGGGAGCCATTGACTTTCACCTCCTTAACTTATGGATGTACTCTCCTCTTCCTTCCATGGGATGAAATTACATAAATTATCTGTCCTTGGTTCCAAAGCATTAAATAAAAGATTTCATGTTCCTTGTTTGGCTTCAAAATGAATGACACTGAACATCATACCTGAATACTTCAGATGGATGATGTGTGCTCGGGAAAAGTAGACAGACTAAATGTGTGACTAGACAGGAAGTAGCATCTTTGGGAGGAGCTTCAGAGGTGGCTTCCTCGGGAGAGTAGGCATGTATTGTGATGTTTTCACTGGATGACCCATCCAGACTTTATACCACTTGGGTCCTCAAGATGCAAAGGTCCTCATTAAACTATTTTTTATTCTTAATCCCAGAAGGACAGCCCTTAAAGCCCTAGGCTATGGAGGTGAAGAATTCAGGATAGATGATATTTTTGAACGTTGATCCCCAGTGAGCCTCAACACTTATCTCCCTTGTTCCTGCTTATCTTGACTCAGGGACTTTGCCTGAACAAAACACAAAACACTTCCCTCATAGTCTGCAGCATTACTTTTTACTTACAAATTGATTCCCCATTTCATGATACCAGGAGGCCTGGTTCTGATATTAAGTTGAAAAAAATATAGCCTGAATTTGTGAGTAGAAAGGATGTAATTGCAAATAGCTAAATTTTACAAAAATGCCACACTTAGGGGTGTCTTTCTTTATATGACATTGATGTTGGGTGAAACATAATTTTTGTTCTTCAGAACTGGCACAGAAAATTCTAATTACTTTTTATGATATCTGTTTGTGGTAAAAAAAAGATTCTGCTTTGAATTTGTTAAGGACCTCCTTAAATTTTGTTACAACAGATATATTCACATGAGTTTTATTTCCACTTATTTTTTCTTATTAGAGATTGAACTCAGGACCTTCTACTTGCCAGGAAGGTGAAGTGCAGCTAAGCTACATCCCCAGGCCCTCTTTACTCTTCATTGAGTGTTATTTCAACCACCACATCCTCAGAAGGTAACATCATGCAGATGAGGCCATCATTCAGCACACGTGGGCAGATTTCACATACCAATTCATGGGTGGAGAATTCACTCCATGTTGGTGCTCCTTGTAATATCTTTTCTATTTCAGAACTTCAGAGTTTGCATACATTTATCAACTTCATTTACAGCACATTTTCTCTTTCTATGTGACTTTGTAATTTACAAAATGGATTACTGGGTGATTTCTGCAAGATGGCCTTGTACTGTCTTTCTTCACATTCTTAATCCAGCTCAGTTTGAAAGTAAAAATAACAGATTAAAGTACAAAAAAGAGGGCTTTTAATTATTTCATGTAATATGAAGAAAGAATAATATTATAAAAAGATAAATTTCCACATATACAAAGGAAGAATTCAAACATAGCATACCTAAGGAACAGGATCTAAGGGTATGATTTATCTCTAAAACCAGAAAATATACTACCTACTTCTAGGTGAAATGGATTCAGTGTCCTAGGTAAAATTATTTTCCAAGGCAGACATAAAGATTTTATATATGAGAAATATAAAAGAGTTGGGCATGTCTCAGACCATGACTGAATTCCAAACGTGAAAGTTTCAGGAAAAACTACTAGAAATAATTGAACTAAGCTCACGGGGAGCAGGGGGAGATTTGGTGGATGGATTTGTACAATTTTCCACATCTTGAAATAGTAGAAATCAGTAAAATGAGTTCCGGATCAGAGATCAGACCTGTGATGGATAGGAGGAAGTGTTAATCTGACAGATGAAAAAGGAGCACAAATTTCATTTGTATTGCAATGATGTTATATTCGCATTTATATATATTAAGCTATAATATATCTGGTTGGATTTACCTCAGATAAATGTAAGAGGAAAAGATATTGTTGAGTGAGTGCAAAATATCTTTTGAGGAGTTTTGTCTTTGGGGGAAAGAATGTGTGTGTGGCTAGAGCAGAATGAGAGATCTAGATGGATTTTTTTTAATTTCAGAAGAATTAATGCACATTTAAATTAAGGATGTCAGACTGCACAGTTGACCTTATACTACCTCTTGATGTGATTCTGAGAAATACCGATTAAGAATAGTGGTGGATAAATGAAATTCCATCACTTGCCTCTTGAATATTACACATAAATAAAGACACAAAGATATACTTTAGCTTTTCAGGTGTCCATATTTCTGATGAAGTGGTCATATTTAGCAATTTCCAGAATGAAATCTTCACAATTTAGGTATCATCATTACTCTTTGGGTGAGGTTTCTATTTAATAAGTACTTGAAGATTATATTAGTGTCCGTTAAAGTGATATGTTCTACATATATTTCTAAACCAGAGAAAGGAGACCAAAGATAAATAAGTGAGAAATCAAAAGCCCGCAAAAGTTTCATCATGTGTCATTGTATTCTAAAATAAAGCTCAGGGCAAATACACAATCTTTGAACACAGTTACCTGGATAACTTGTGCAGATCTGAGAGCTGAGAGTTAAGAAAGGGTTGATGAGGAGAAACAGGGAAGCAGAGTCAGTAAAGGTGGAAAGGGGGTTGGGGAAACACAGATATGGACATGTGGGTAGGTACAAGGGAAGTAAGAATGATCAAGATACTATATGTGTCAATCCTCAAGCTGAATGTAGCCTGCATTTATTGCACATATATATGAATAAAAATTTAAATGCAGAAGTAGCAAAGCATACTATAGAAATCTAATTAAATAAATATTTGTTGGGCACTTAGCAGGAACTGGATCCTGGGCTATGGACCTAGAAGGGTGAAGTTCTTATAGGAAAGTGTTATGGAGGAAGGATGGGAAGACAAATTTAATAACAACACTTTTAATTAAAATCAATTTCATGAGAAAAGTGATCTGTACAAGAAAAAATCCTCATTGATCATAGTAAGTCTGGATACCTCAATAGCTGTCATATGTGTGGGTATAAGTCATTACAAACACTAGCTAAATATGTAATACTCAGGGATGTCTTTTCTTAGACATCATCATTGTTGACTGAATCTTAGTTTTTGTTCTGTATAATGAATTCAGAGTTTTTTAATCTACTTTTTATAATCACTGCTGGTGACCAAAGATATAGACAAGACCTTCTTATAATTTTGATAAATATTTTCTTAATTTTTTCACAATAGTTTCCTTCACATGTGGAGACTGAATTTATATTTTAATTTTGAATTTTGAATTCAACTACAAAATACACAGAAGGTCACTGTGTGCAGATTTGTCAATGTGTTTAGCACGTGTGATGGTTCATGGGTGGATTAACTTTTTATGTTACTCCTTTTTATGACATCTATGTTTAAGGAGTTCAAAATTTTGCCTATTTTATTAAGATTAATTTACATCACATTCTGTTAAACCAACATGTTGCGCATATTTTTTTGTACCGGAAATTGAACTCAGGACCTTGCACCTGTGAGGCAGGCACAATGCCACTGAGCTAAATCCCCACCCAGGCACATATTATTTCTGAAGTATGGAAAAGAGAAGAAAGATAAAACAGTGGGGATTTCAAAGCTGAATAAAATATCAACATTTGTTACTGCATCCTAAAGTGATTTTTAGAAGGACGAATACACCCTCTCCCAACACGAGTGTCTGGG